GATCACAGTTGTGTTTTTTTCGAAACTGGAGACAACAGCATTAAAGACGCACGATTATTTTCAGCGACAATGTCAAGTACAATTCGATCACCACTAAGCTCCATCAATTTTTGCACTCGTTTTTCCCCTTTAAAATTTTCCTACTTCAGAGCTTACAATGAACCTCGATCAAAAACAATATATTCCAAAATGATGCCTTTTCTGCTGTGCGTCTTTCTCAGCTCCTACTCAGCCCACTGCTACAAAATCCTCATATTTTCGGGACCATATGGTCGCTCGCACACGAGTTTTATGACACGCATAGCTGATATTCTTCAAGAAGGCGGTCACGAAGTGGTGAGTGAGCTAAGCGCTCTTTCTTACTATATGCGTCTATTCATTATTTGAGCGTTCTGTACTTCAATAACAGTGATGAAAGCGTCTATGAACAGAATGTCACATACTGATCAAATTTGTCGGTTCAGCTACAGTATCTTTCCAGCTTGACAGGTCCCACTCGTTGGTGAAAATGACCAACTTGGGAGAAAGAGTTTCGGTTTATGTTAAGCTTCATTCATCTTATGCCTTCATTCTTTCGTAGTTTCTTCTGCCTAAATTATAAGTAGTTGCATTTTTGTTGATAAGGCAACTAATTTTACTACTTTTCTTCAAGTAGCTACAGGGAACTGAAATGTTTTGGCGATTAGCTATGGCCGCTACGAGGATACCAGAAAGGAAGTCAGTTTTTCTGAGCTTTACGCTGAGTTTCAATTGTCATTTTCATTGGCGTAGAATATCTTGTTTTTGTTACTGCTGCTTTCAACCACTACCTGTAGATGTCACTATGTATTCCATTATTAGGTTGGCCCAGAGTCTTTTCTCAAATCACTTTCAAAGCTGAAAAATTTTGATCCGAAAATACCGTCGCATCTTTGTTGACGTAGCATCCACTTACATCAACAGGCCATCACGTTGTCTAGCTACTTGTTATAGCTATTACACCGATTTCGAGAAGTGCTAATTGTGGCCTTGATTTTCAGGTCAGGCTATTACTAGGTTAACCAGATGAGTGAATGTAGGCCACTTCAGCTCACGGTGCAGCGGCGCTTCACTCTGCTCAGCCATAGATCCTTTCTACCAGCCTAACATAGAGCACTGATTGATAGTCACGTGATTTGGCAGTCTACCTAGGCTCTACCTAAGGCTGGTAAAAAGGGATCTTAATGAACAGTCGACTATCGTTCGCCAGTGCAATTATAATGACGGATCGTGAGACCTCTCCACAGGCTTGAAATAATCTGGAAATCTGGAATGAATTTATATTCCGTACCCTTCGAGCCCGAATTAGCTCAAAACACGATCAAATCATCACGTTCAAGTAGGCTACTGTGGCTCGTTCGAGTAACACCCTTATTTTGTTGATAATGTGAAGGTTGTACTCACAAAAACACGCTTTAGACAAGCTCAAACGGTATGAGAGTTCTGATGCTAAAGTTCAGTTCGTCCAAGTCGGGCCTTTCCGATATTTGGTGGAATAGGAGGTTTGGCGCTGGCAACCCCTATAATAAATTACACAGTCACCGCAGAAGTCAATCGTCTACATTTCTATTGCAACACTTTTGATATGAAAGGGAACCAAAACGATATCTAGTTTTTTTACGATGCTGTTGAACCGCCTATGCTAGGAGGATCGGGAAAGCTTTCGGAGGAAGTATTCGTATTCATTTGCGTCCTATGACCCTTGTCTTGTGCGAACAGATGCCCACCTGCATCTCACAAGGAGATTCTCCTTTGAATCGTCATAATGTCAAAATCGACATCCAATTCTTCATAAATTGTAATTCGATGGAAATCTATACGCGAGAACTGTTTGCACTGCAATGGCATATTTTTTACATAACGATTGGACAAACCTAATATTATGTCACTTCTCATCGGTCAAGGATTATCGGCATACTAGTACTTTTATTACTACATATCATTTAGAAAGCAATATCGCAGAAAAAGTGACCACGTTGATCGACGCTCCATAACAGCTTGTCAGTCGCTGCTGGGTTTTGCCATATAACATCCTTGCCGCCATGTTCGACTCTCGATGAACCTCGGCATAGTTTCAGTACGAGTTTATTTGACTTAACAGCACACGAGGTTGATAATGATTCCGTCGGCTAACGCTTTCGCCTTCTTCGGAGCCTAAAAAGGTGGAAACCAATTTACGATTTATCCGACCAAATGTCTCCCTACCCTACGAGACCTTCGAGACCAGCTAAGACCATCACATAATTAATAGGCAGATAAAGTACCGTACCTTCCCGATCAGCGGCAATCACATATCGACAGTATAGAGATGTCGGACTGATCAGAGTTCAGGGTTCCGGTTGGAAGGCTAACCTTATATAGGGGGTTAGTTCCCGCGTTATTGACACACATTCTTCCCTGCGGTTCATTTTGGATTCTTGAACCGGATCCAAAATGCCTCCAGGGTTTTGCGCGCGGCTGTCTGGGTTTCGCGCGCCATGACCTCGACGTGACT